CTGGTAACTCTTAATAATTCTTCAAACCTCAGCTTAAAAGTACCTTCCTAGACCCTGGTTTAGTTTGTATCTTCTCACTCTCCAAAGCAACATCTGCTTTGTCTTTCATTGACATGCATGTCATCTGTCATTACTTGTCTACTGCTTGGCTTCTCCACAAAATTCGAAATTCCAGTTTGACAGGTACTGTGTCTGCCTTGTTCACTGCTTTATTCCCAGAACCAGGCACAGTGCCTGACAGAAAGATGACACTTCAGACATTTATTACATTGAATTGGATTGATAACATGCTCTAATTATGGCTTTATGACCAATATTCAAAGAGGAAAAGAAAATGAAAACAAAGTTACAAATTAATATAATTGGCTCCATCACTTAGAACTAGAATTTGCAAAAGATTGCACAAATGCTGAGGGGAAGTTGAAAAAATGACAGGGTTGCTGCTAACTGAAAGGTGGGCTGTATGAACCCACTCAGTGGCTCTGCAGGAGAAAAGACCTGGCGATCTGCTCCTGTAAAGATTACAGCCTGGGAAAACCTAAGCAGCAGCTCTACTCTGTCCTTAAGGTTACTATGAGTCAGAATTGTGACTCAACAGCACCTAACAACCACCACCACTGCGCCTACATTTTTGGATGAGGTGAATGAATGATGAGCAAGAGAGGTGAGGGTTTTGATTTAATGTATTATAAATAAAAACATTAATGAAAACAGAGTTGCTTAGTTTCGTACAAAAGATTGAATAAACTGAAGAAAGGAAGGATTGTATTTGATATATTGAAAAATGCTTACCATATACCAGATGCTGAGTATACAACTATGAATAAGACATGGTCCTTGCCTTAGGAAGTCAAGTCTCATGGAAAAGACATATATATAAATAGATAGTTATAATACAGATTGGTGTCTGCTATGACAAAGAGGCGGAGTTATGAAAACTTTAAGAGGAAGACATGATGATTAATCTTGGTCTTAAAGAATGAGTAGTTTCAGCAAGGGGGACATGGCTTTTTCCAGCATTGAGAACGGCACTCAAAAAGGCACGAGGCCTGGCATGCCATCCTAGGCCAACCAAATCAACTGAGGCAATTAAGCAAAGGAATGGAAAGATCAGATGTGCTTTTTATTTGTTTTTAAGGTAACCAGATCTTGTATAGCAATTTCAGAGGAGCTCTGGTGGGGCAATGGTTAAGCACTCAGATGCTAGCTGAAAGGTCAGTGGTTTGAACCTGCCAGTGGCTTCATGGAAGAAAAGACCTGGAAATCTGCTCCCGTAAAGACTACGGCCTAGAAAACCCTATGGGGCAACTCTACTCTATCCTATAGGGTCCGCTGTGAGTTGGAATTGACGTGATGGCACATAGCAAGAAGATTTCTGAGCCAGATTTCTTGGGTTTGGACTCAGGGTCTGGTACTCACTAGCTGTATGACCACTTCTCCGTGCACTGGTTTCCTTGCCTATAAAATGGAGCTAATAATAGTACCTACCTCATAGTGTTGTTATAACGCAGTGGGCTAATATTTGAAAAGCACTTAGAACGCTACCAATACTATGTAAGTGTTTAGCTCTTGTCACAATTGCAGATGTTTGTCTCATGATCTACTCCATGACAATATTACTTTCTGCCAGTAAGTTGCTGATTTCGTGTCATAGTTTACTGCCTTTGCTCCAGGCCTGAGGAACAGATTTTTGTTTTGGAATAAACAGAGCCACGGCAAGATTCAAACATGGGTAAGAAATGATTAGATAGCACTTAATTCAGTTCAGAAAAAGCAGGCATCCAGAGTGTGCTCCATGCTAAGTATTACAAATACTCCTCTTCCCCCAAATTCAGGAGTGGATCTTGAACCGCCCAAAAGGTTATCTGAGGACCTAACACTGGAAGAATGGCCCTGTGGAGATATAAACACATAAAGAAAGTCGCTTTCAAAAGATTAAAAAATTGCCTATTTAGAGGACGCGGAGAAATGAGAACCCTCACCACTGCTGCTGGGAATGCAAAATGGTGTAGCCGCTGTGGAAAACAGTTTGGCTATTCCTTAAAAAGTTAAACTAGAATGACCATATGACCCAGCAATCCCAGTCCTAGGTATATATCCAGAAAAACTGAAAGGAACACAAACAGAAACCTGTACACGAGTGTTCATAATCACAATAGCCAAAGGGTGGAAGCAACCTAAATGTCCATCAATAGACGAACGGATAAACAAAACATGGTATATACATACAGCGGAATATTCCAAAACCCAAAAAACCAAAACTTTTGCTGCCGAGTTGATTCCAAACAAACCAATAAATAATTAAATAACATAACTGCAGATCATGGTAAGTGTTATAATGGAGCTCTTGAAATATTATGAATAATAAACCTTTTCTGCCTTCTAAAAAAAAAGGAGACATATCTTTTTGAGAACAATGAACATTTAATAAAAGAATGATGACTCTAAAAAATTACTTATTTAATAAGAAAAAAACTGTATGATAATCTCAAGTACAGGGTAAACAAGTTAATCAATTATTCTGTAATATTTGCATTCTCAGAGAGTCCACTGCTCAAGTCTTTTATCATTTTAGCAACATGGGAAATCACAGATACCAATATGCATTTCATTGAAGAATTATCTTCAGGAAAATGATTTCCTATATGTTGAACTGACTCTTTTATTAAGTCCTTTTTAATTTGATATGAGTTTCAAACAGCCAAATTTGTTGATACCAGTGACGAACACGTGAGGGCAAGTGTCTTAGGCTGGGTTCTACAGAGAAGCAAAACCAGTAATGCATACAAATAGATACATAGAGAGATTTATTTTAAGGAAATGGCTCACGAGGTTGTAGAGGCTGGAATGTGCCAAGTCCGTGGATAACGCTGGAGGTGTCTCCTGATTCACGTAGCCACAGGGGCCGGATCTTACCTATCATGGAGGTGATCACGTCATTATACAACTGCCAAACTCTATCATAACTGCCAAATCACTGAGAATCATGCCTTAGCCAAGGTGACACATACCCTTAATGACAGCAAGAATCAGTTTTATAACAGAGGAAAGTTAAAGCAGTAACTAAGAGTACTGGGAAACACAAGATTTGGAGACCAGGGTTTAACTTTTGGTTTCATCGTTTACAAGCTGTGATTTAGTCAAGCCATTTAACCTCTTTAAGTTTCATTTTCCTCATTTTTAAAATCAAGGTTGTTTTGAGGGTTAAATGATGTATGTGGAAATGTTTTAATAAGCAATTTTTTTTCTTCTCAGTTAAAACATACAATATTTGGGATGAAAAGTGGTAAGGCAGATGCCATACTTTCTTAAACCCTGCACAGTATCTGGTACAGACTTGGAAAGGATCTTAATTTCATGAGGAAATTGCCTTCCTCCTAGAGACTGACTTATGACTTGTCCTTGTCCACGGTCACAGAGCTGATAGTGGCAGCCAGAATCTAGGTCTTCCTACTACACCTCTCTCATTCATCATTCATTCATTTAATAAATTTTTATGGAGGATAACCATGTGCAAAGCGTTGCACTAGGTGTTGTAGGTGATTCGCACTGATCACAGATCCTTCCCTCAAGACTTAAGCGTAAGTGAATGGGTTAAGAAAGTATAAATAAACTATTCTATGACTTGGTGAGGGTCAAGGGAGACTTGTTGGAAAAGGTGCCAATCCAACTTTGGTTTAAAAAGCAGAAATGATTTGTACATAAGAGTCGTAGAGTTTAAAGAAGGCAGTCCAGTGGTAAAACAGTGGGCAAAAACACTATCTTAAGCATCAATGAATATTTGTGGGATTGAAAACCAAAAAACCCATTGTCCTCGAGTCCATTCCGACTCACAGCGACCCTATAGGGCAGAGAAGAACTACCCCACAGAGTTTCCAAGGAACGGCTTTGAACTGCCGGCCTTTTCGTTAGCAGCCAAGTTCTTAACTATTGTGCCCTCAGGGATGGAAGAGGCATAATTAAGGTGCTAGGGTAACTTCCTCCTTGTATAACAGGGGCTGCCTCCCACCCTCAGACTTTTGACTTTTGCACAATTGTTGTTGCCTCTGGAACGCGTTCCCGAATGTTTGTCTAGGACACAATTCATGCAACCTCCCTCAGAGGCCTTGCCTGACTCCATCCAGGCAGTGCAGGACTGCCTCCTGTTTCCAAGGTGCCTGGTCCACCCCTCACGACACTGATGACACACCTCTATTTGTCGTCCCTCCCCACATCCCCACTCTTGTTTCTCATTTCCTTGAGAAAATAGGGGCTAATCTCTTCAGTGTCTCTTTAGCCTGAGCACAGTGCCAGATGCTAATTCCCTAACAATTTTGGGTGAAGGAAAGTAACACCTGGCCTAGGGTCTCCTGTCTTCTGGCAAACACGTTCTTTCGGGTTTGTCACGCTCCTCAAGCACTCACAGTTCTTTCTACTGACCTCTACACACACAGGCACAGTACAGAAAGTCTGTATCTGATTCATCTCTACGTCCCGGGGACCAGCACGTAGTAAGCGCTCAATAAACGCTGGCAGAGTGAATGGAAACATTTACACATTAGACGGCGGACGTCCCGGGACGGTTTTCTTCAGAACGAGCTCCATCTCGTCTTGGGGACGACCCCAGCGGCAGGAGCTGCGGCCGGTGAAATCACCCCTCCGCCAGGGGCGCGTCGCGCGCGGACCGAGCACCACCCCACCCCACTCCACAGTCAGCGGGAGCTTCCTCCCGAACCCACCAGCCAGCAGACGCCCAATCCCCACGCCCCCATCCCACACACCACGCAACATCGCCCTAGCGCCTGGGCGGGCGTCACCGCGCGGCCTCGCTGCCTGCGATTGGCTGAACGCCGCATAGCGCCATCTCGGCCTACCGCGCGGTGAGCGCCCTCATTGGCTAGAGGTGGCGGCTGTGGGCGGGGCCTGCGTGCGGGGCGGGGCGGGGCGGGGCGGGCTCGCCTCCTGAGCCCCGCCCCCGGTCCCTGGCCTGGGCTAAGGCGCCCAGGGCGCTGAGGCGCTTTGGATCGGGCGGCCAGCGTAGGGCGCGCGGCGGTTGCTCTCGTTACTGCGGCAGCGCTCCCGGGGAGGACGTCGCCGCCGCCGCCGGCGCACGCCTGGGATGCTGGTGAGGAGGCCAGTCGGAGCGGCCGCTGCAGCCCTCTGAGGGAAGGCCTCTGGAGGCCGCCGTTTCCTAGCGGGAAAACCGAGTCGGAGACTGGAAGGTTCGGGGCTGGGGTGTCGAGGGCTGCTGCTGAGGGGAAGGACGCGAGAGCGTGGCCGGGCTTCCTGAAGTCGCAGTCTTGACTCCAACGCTATCTTTTGTTTGAGAAGGAAGCCGGGCATTTTACCTGTGAAGGTGGGCCGGGCAGTGTCGCCGGCCGGGGGCTCTTCCTCCGCGCTCACTTTTTCTCGACGCCGCCAGGGGAGCGCTGTCGGAAGGGGCGAGGCCCATTATTTCGCAGCGCCTGGATATTTCTGTAAAAATTTCCCCCGTCCCTTTTCTGGTGCTGGTGATTTTACGCCCTGACGAGCCAACATCCAAATAATAAACATCACCAGCAGCCACCCCCAGGAAGCCCCTCAGAGGGGGAATAATGGAGTCCCTGAAGGAGAAGAGTGCCTGATTGGGAGCCAGCGTTTTGTGAACCCTGGTGTCTTAAGTCCCGTCCACCTTCCCTGCGCTCCTGGGGTCCTTTTGTACCGGCTTTCTGTGCTTTGGACAATTATTCCGGTTTCACTTGCCATCCGTCCCAGGGTTTACAGCAGTTTGGCCGCTACTCCATGCCCCTTTTGGTCCCATATTTTCGGGAGAACCTCGAATGACCAAAACTTCCACGTGAAAAAGCAGCTCCCTCGTGACCGTTGCCACCAAAGAAGCCTTGAACCATGTGGACCTTTCTGGGCATTGCCACTTTCACCTATTTTTATAAGAAGTGCGGGGACTTAATCACCTTAGCCAACAAGGAGCTCTTGCTGTGCTTGCTGGTGTTCCTGTCGCTGGGTCTGGTGCTCTCCTACCGCTGTCGCTACCGAAACGGGGGCCTCCTTGGGCGACAGCAGAGCCAGTCCCATTTCGCAGCCTTCTCGGATATTCTGTCAGCGTTGCCTTTCATTGGCGTCTTCTGGGCCAAATCCCCATCTGGATCCGAAAAGAAAGAGCAACCCGACTCTAGGAGGGTAGGTTGGCGTCATGGTGGGCGAATGGATGGATCGCTTCTATTTTTAAGTTAGGATTGCCCACTCCCCGCCCATGTAAGTTTTCTCCTCCCGTTTTAGAAAGGCGAAAGGTGTTAGATAACTGTGGTATACATTCTCATTTCGCTGGATTTTTTTCTTTTTCTTTTTTTTAGAAAGGAGATCAGAGCGCGTCCTTGGCTACATCCTTGACCTTCTGGGGAGTGATTGAAAATCTTGGTATCATTTAGAGTTAGTTGAGCCTCAGATGAAGGTGGAATATTGATTTGATTATGAAAGGTGAAGTGAAAGGTTAGGATTTCATTTAGAACGAGGGCAGAATCACCTTCTGTGATGAAAAAAACAAAGCTATTTCTGTTTAAATCATTGGGTAAGGATTGTATTTATACCTGGGAAGAAGGAAACCTGCTGCAGGCAGGTCCATTGCTGAAGTGACAACTGGCTGGGGAAAGTGGTAGAACAAGTTGAAAAGCAGACAGAGTCAAAAGCCTCACCATTTTAAAGCTATGAGTGAAAAGCTCTCTTCCCCTACATCAGTGGGACCTTGAGTAAATCAGTGAGTCACTCCATGGCAGTGATGTTCCTGAGTCAAAGGGCAAGCCTTCAGACACCTGTGATGGGACTATGATCTCTGTGCAGAGGAAAATGGTAGGAGATGAGGAGGAGAAGTCACAGAGGCCCCAACATTTAGGGCCTGTCTGCTATGGGAGTTTGGGCGTTTTCCCAAGAGCACTGGAGGCTTTTACGCTTGGGAGTAACAATATTTGATTTTAACTTTTTGAAAAGAACATTCTAGTTGTTGTGTGGAGAATGGATTGCAGGGGCAGATTACCCTGTAAGCAAGGTAAGCAAGGCCTTACTTGTGCTTATTAATTTGTGTGTATTAGTAAATAAGCACAACTAAGGACGTGTTTACCTTGCTTACTGGGTAATCTGTCCCTGTCAGGGATTGTACATTTGAAAATAGGCTTTGATTCTATAGGAATGTGCTGTGAGGTTGGGAGAGAGACAGATGCTAGCCAGAACTAGAAGCAGAATCTTTGATGAGGTGAAAAATGTGAAATTGTTCACTACAGATCAGCAAGTAAGCACAGGTAAGCCCGTGCTTACCTTGTTTATTGGGTAATCCGCCCCTGAGTAGGGGTAAAAGAATGGAAGCCAGGGAGATCCAGCAAGAGACTACAGAACAGGCCAAGTGAGGGATGATGGTGGCTTGGGGTTAGGGTGAATGGTCTACAAAGTAATTTACGCTTTGAAGGTTCTGGATTTACACTGAGACCTTGGGCATACTGCTTTATTTCGGTAAGAATCAATCACTACCTCTTAGATGGGCATTGCCGCAATCTTATATGTAGGTAGGGAATTAAATGATTTATTACTGGCAAAATGCCTGGTCCATAACTGCTTAACAGTAGCTATTAGCATTAGTCTAAAGGTAGTGTATATCTACTAGCCTTTTGAGTAGCGCAAAATGAGTTAGCGGTGTGGTGGATGTGGATTGGAGGAATGGAAAAGGAAGCAGAAGAAATCCTTAATTCTCAATTTGAAATTTTTATTTTTCTGTGAGATAACATCCGCTTGGTCATGTGGCTGGAATGACATCAATGCTATGATGCTGTATAGAGAAATTTGGGGGCAGGAAAATTGGACACCAGCAGTCAATACTGACTCTGCTTTGTGAATGCCTTGGGCTTTGTTCCTGTTTCCTAACCAGGGAGTTGTTAGACTCTGACCTATTGAGTAATAAGCTCCCATTGGTACTTCTTCTACTGACCAGGCTCTGAAAGACTTAACTGCCTCCAAAGTTCCCCTTCCAGAATTTGTGTGTGTGTGTGTGTATTTAACAGGGAAAACTTAGGAAGAAAAATTAATCAAAATTGGCTAAGATGACAAAGGAGGCTTCCCAGAACAGTAATTTAAATAGTCTGTTCTGGCCATACTGTTGGGAAGAATAGACTGTATTGTCTTCTCCCCTTGGTAGATGACAGAAGGTGTTTCTCTAAGACAAATTATAGAAAATGGAACGGACAAGGTCTCAATCCATTATAGAGGTAAACGAAGGCTAGGTGAATATTGTTGTTGGGTGCTGTCTGAGTCGATTCTGACCCAGCAACCCCATGTGACAGTAGGTTTTAGAATCACAAGAAGGGTCTTAGAGTTAATCTCTTCCCTTGTTGCCTGAGTTCTTTTATTAAAACCCCATCGAGTGACATTTAGTTTTATCTTAATCATTAAGGTCAGAGAACTAGGAAGATGGTTCCTTGCAGTTCTGTATCTGAAATGTTTTCACATTTGTGAATCCGTGCACCAAGAACAAATACTTATTACAAGATTAAATTGGTCGCTAAGGGAGAAAAAAAAAAAACGAAAACAAAAACCAACACCAGGCATTACTATTCTTGATGGGCATAAAGCTCAAAACAGGACTTTTTCATCTTCTTATCCAAGTTAAAAGTTTTTGCTGTTAGTCCAGTCAGTTGTGGGGTTTAATATTTATCCTTGTTTCTAAATTTAAGGACCTGCTGTTTGATCAGACTCTCTTGGAGTATCAGGAGGGAGAAAAAGGAAGGGATAAATTAAGTATGTCTTTAAAGGTTAAGAACTAAAATTGTAAATCCCAAGGAGCAGTATGAGTTATTTTGTTCTTTGGAATTTTGTTGAATAATCTCAATTAATAGATCAGTAGGCAGGGTTTGAAAATCTTTTTGTTAAATAATAGTGATTTTAGATTAAGGTAGATTTTTGAAATGAAACTCCAGAGGGAGAAAGTGAAGGTGAATAGTAGAAATATCTAAAAGGTGTTGAAATAGTTTGCAAAATGAAGTCAAAGCAGAAGTTGTAAGTGATTTGCATCTGGTAGGTGCTTAGTATATATATATATAATGTATATATATATAATATGTATACCTATATATAATGTATATATTTATATGTATATAATATATATACCTATATATGTATTATATATGGAACATATATGTAATATATGTATATATATATTATATATATATTTGGCTGTATAGTTGAAGAATTGAGTAATTGATGATAGAATTTTCCCTGTAAGTCTTTGAAGTCCCTTATAAACGTTTGCTATATTTGGCCTGGTGAGGATTTCTAAATGTCTGTGTGGCATTTTTTCTAAATACCATGTTTGGAAAAGAAATATATAGTTTTACTGAGATAGTATTGTACATTTTTTATTTAAACAGTATTTTGATATCATTGATTTGTATATAATATTTGGATTTAAAAATTAAAAGTTCAATTGTTTGGTAATGTTGAAGTTCTAGCTTTTTTCCAAGATGCAAAAGTCCGTTGAATCTATAGAGTAGGAGTATGATTTAAGGGTAACAGATGTGGAAATGTAATTCCCTTTTTTTTTTTTTAAACAGCAAAAAAAAGAAATGAATATTTCAGAAACAACCTTAATGGGAGCAGCAATAACTTTTCAGAATGATCCTGAAATTATCATCGTGGGATCTGGTGTACTTGGCTCTGCTTTGGCGGCAGTGCTTTCCAGAGATGGAAGAAAGGTGACAGTAATTGAGAGAGATTTAAAAGAGCCTGACAGGATAGTTGGAGAATTTCTGCAGCCAGGTGGCTATCATGTCCTTAAAGACCTTGGTCTTGAAGGTAGGTTCATCCTGATTTCAGGAGAGTTATGTGGTATAAACAGTTTAGACTGTCTTATGACTAGTAAAAAGATACTCCATTTTATTTTCATTTATAAAAATTTACTATGCTCTGCCAATACGAGTTATCAATGAATTTTCCAATTTTCAAAAATTACCAATGAATTTTCATGAAAATAAGTGTAAAAGTAAAAAAAAAAAAAAAAAAA